GAAGACCAGCCACAACCCCAAGGGCTGGAGTATGTCTGGTCTCGCGGGCCAGAGGAAGGAAGAGTCAGTGACTCAGTGTCTTGCCCTTGGAGGAGGGACGCAGGCAGAGCAGCCAACAGTGCCTTCGTGCAGCCCGCAGCCCACGCTGGGGTCACTCTGGGTAAGCACTGGCAGGATCGGGACCTTCGTTTCCTCGTTATATTTCACTGATCCATTTAATGTTTTAAACTACACATGGGTGAGTGGGGGAGCTAGGCGTGGTACCGTAGAGTGGGGAGAATCCACCACCAAGAGGTTAAGCCATCTCTCCACCTGCTGTGCTCTGCCAGAGCGGCGCAAAGCTTCCAAAATGGGGGCCAGCATCTGCCCCGTGGCTGGAGATTCGGAGGGGCTGTCGTTTCTCTCCCAGTGAAATCAAGGAGCCCAACGCTCTGAAGGGCGTTAGCCCACCCCCCCTTTGAGGGTTATCTGGGTTCGTTGAGCTGCATGTTCTGTGGCCCACTCATGAAAGCCGGCAGCTCCCTACAAGCTCCAGCCTGACACTAGAGCAATACTCTTCAGCAATGACCTGCAAAACTCCTGCCCTCCCAGCCCTGGGCACTGGCTGTACAGCAGTTCTGTAATGCGGGACAGGTACACACAGCATCAAGGCCCCTTTTCACTTGGGACCTACAATACAACGGGACTGGCCCTCGGTCTCCCCCTTTGAGTCCAGCTGGTTCATTAATCCAGTATGTTTAGCAGCTTCACCCAGAATATGGCTTCCTAATAGTTCCCTTTCTCTGTCTGGTTTCGGTTAACTCATTTCTGGGCTAGGCCTGGGCATGCAGCCTCTTTTATGCTGTTCAGCACAGGAGAGGGTGTTGTGGAATATTTGAAACCTGTGTTAAAATTGTAGACTCTCGTTACAAATGACACGGTGTTCTCCTGGAGTAGCTCACAAGCTAGGGAGTTCTGCAGGGATGTGCGAAATCTCAGCCTAGCAATAATCAATTTGCAGCCAAATAGCCTAGCACAGTGTTCAAAATGGCTGCACTTAAAGGGGCAGGCGACCTTTTTTTTTTCTTGATAACTTTTCCCCGACCCCGCCCTCCTCCTGGTAGGGAGCAGCCTGCTTAATCTCTCACTGTTTTGAGGCTGTTGGGTGGTGGTGTTCTCAGTTCTAAGATATAATGTCATGTTACTTTGCAGTCTTCTGGCGAGCCATTTCTGTTTTTGTCAACCCCCTCTGTGTGCATGTTCTGACTGTAACAGGCGCGTGAGGAATAGGAAATAGCTCCCACCTTGAAAGAGCTCATCGAATTCTTCATCTCGGCCACTTTCTCTTCCATTGTACAGTGGCAGCTCTTCACCTTCTCCTCCAGAGCATACTCGCCGTGCTGAATTCTAGAAAGTTCCTGCATGGCTTCAGTGAAACCAGTTTTCAGTTCAGAGGCCAGTGCCTGCAACTAAAAGGAACCAGAAACAATGTGAACCCAAACCCTCCCAACCTGCTGTTAGTGGCAGTCTCCCTCGAGTCCATCAGGACTCAGTTTGCCATAAGGACCCAGGGCTTAGATCCCACAATCATTGCCATGCTCTGTCCCCTTCGAAGGGTTCTTGGGCCAAGGGGGTAGGCGGGCCTGTTACTCGGACTGGCTGACACCCCTAGGTCATTTCGCTCAGGTATTAGCAGCCCAGCCATTAGATCCAGAAGTTCCCAAATGGTGGCCTGTTTACCTCGGAGGGAAGGAAACGCTCATAGGAGGGGAAGGCGGCTTGGATCTTAAGGACAGCGCACGGCACCTGCTATATTTGCATAACATAACAGTCAAAAGTCAGCAAGCAGTCAGCTGAGCCCTTTTTGAGCAAGCCCCTCCTCAACTCAAAAGGCACCAGCTGGCCTCCGTCCGTCTTAACACCGATTTCCCTTGGTCTTCCAGAGTCAGTCATGCCTGTTAGCCACAGCCCTTCTGTGACGAAGTGGGGAGCATCTGTCCTTGCCCAGTGGGGTATAGCTCCACTGCAGTGGTATGGCCCCATGGGGAGAGTGGCTGAAAGCACCCTCAATTCACCCCACCAGAGATGCCAATTCTGCGGGTGCTCCCGGGCTGAAAATTGAATTTTTCCCATGGTGAAACATTGGTGAGTGCAGAGCTCTCACCGGCAAGCTCCTGCCTCTGCTCCCCTCCCCCTGCGCCTCTGGCGTGCTGGCGGCCCCTCTGACCAACGCCTCCCAGCCCTTCCGGAGAACTGCAAACAGCTGGATCGTGGCATTCAAGCTCAGGGAGGGAGGGGAAAGAGCGGGGCCAGCGCGTGCTCGGGGAGGAGGTAAGGAAGAGGTAGGGCGGGAAGTCGAGCAGGGGTGGGAAGAAGTGGGGCAGGGGTAGAGGGAAGGGACAGATTGGGAGTGGCACCTGGAACGGGGTGACAAGAAGAGAAGTTGTCATCTCTGCACCCTGCCTGCCATTGTCAGAATCTCTGTACAAAATATGCCTTGTGACGTATCAACTGACAACTCTCAAGACAATAATAACATGGGGAACTGTCTGTAGCAACATTACCTGTAAAGTTACAGAATCCCCCCGTATGCTATGAGTATGTGTCCAAAACCACACAGCGCTGCCTAGCCAAAGGCTGCTCAACAGGCCTGTTCTAGACAAAGGAAAGTGTGTTGATCTCTGTTGCTGTAAAAGTAGCAAATAGGGCCCTCAGGACAGCAAGGGGGAAGAAACCGCAGGGGACAAAACAAATTTGCATTTCAGCAAACCCAGGTGGGAAGAAAGAACATGGGTCCTTCTTCACCACCAGATTCCATGTCACCTTCTTTACTGCTTGAATAACTTGGCTTCGAAGGGTAATTTTCTATTTCAAAGTTCACTGAACTGTACGGAAGAAGGGCAGAGAACCCAATGTTCTTTCACCTAAGAAGACAAAGCAGCACCTCTGAGCCTCTGGTGAGATCCTGACCAAGGAAAGTCGGTCACTATTTTGCTGGAAGACTGTGGAGGAGAAAGGCCATCTTGATCCAAAATTTGCTACAGTTTGAACCTCTCTAGTCTAGCAGTCTCTGGTCCGGCAACATCTGTGGCCCAGCATGATTTTAGTGAGCTGGATATCCACTGATCATGGGTATGGCCACGTTTTCTGTGGTCCCATAAAGTGTATTTACAGCCACCAGTCCTGGCTCTGAGTTCTGGGCTCTTATTTAGCTCTAATTCACCCCTAATGTCTTCTCAGAGCCCACTAAGCAGCGGCAGTGTTGGCAATGCTGCTAGACAATATCAACCTCCCGCGACCCAGCAATTCTCTTGTTTGGAACCGTTCAGGTCCCGAGGGTGCTGGTCTAGAGAGGTTCAGCCTGTAGGTTAAGGTTCAGACTTTTAGATGTTACATTTTAGTTGCTGGTGCCTGCTTTTAACTTCATCTTTTATATTTGAATTCACCTTTTAAACAATCTTCTTTTAATAGATGTTTTATTTTTAATCAAAACCAATCCAGTTCTGTGTTTAACCAGAACTGCTTGCTAATTCCAGTTGAGACGGCAAAGTGTTGCTTATTGACTCTGCATAGGATCAACTTAACTTTAATACCTGGACTCTCCGGGGGGGCGGGTAGACAGTGCAGAGCTCACATTTTGGGGAAAATGTGGAACTGGGAGTGTTGGGGTCACCCTCCAAGTAATAACCAAGGCTGGTGGAAGCCAGAGTATGACCAGTGTGTTACTGACAGGCTGCTAGACCAGGGCCGTAATTATACTAGAGACTGAGGATGTGACCTCCATGGTGTTAGGTTGTTTGTGAGTGGCCCAGACTGGGAGCTACCACACAAAGCATTGCGAGGCACCCGGAGTTACAGGGCAGGTGGTAATGTAACCCCTCCCTGCTCTGACTTGTACCCCCAAATGTGATAGTGGTGTAGTCAAAGCAGGATTTAAATAAGCTTGTTATAGTGACTGCAGTTTACACTGCAAGTCCCGGTATAAGAGCCTTTAGTGATTCTCCTGTGTGGGGAGTGGGCACAGTGGAAAGGGGACAGATTTATTATTTTCTGTTTGTTTCAGGAAAGGGAAACTGACCAAAAGTCCGCAACAGCAAAGGTCCTACACTGGCCGGCCTAGAAAGCGAGCAGAAAGACAACGAACATGGACACCAAAAATAGTTGGCTGAGCAGAAAGTGGGAAGCAGAGATGAGAGTCAAGGAGCCGTTGGCAGAAAGGCAGCAGCAAGAAGCCATACGCTGGCAGGCTGTGGAGCTAAAAGAGACAGAAGCTCAAGAAAAAGAGAAGACAAGGCTGCCTGCCCAGAGCATAATAGACAGCGGGGCAGGTTCCACCAGCCCCCGCTGGGCTAAGTTGTGCCCTACATACAAAGAAACAGATTGTACTGAGAAATACCTCAGCACTCAGTGAAGTCCATAATGTTCCAGAGGGCAGGACAGTCCTCATGCTGATGGCAAAACTCTTGGGTAAAGTTTAAATGTATTCACGGGCATGCTGACTGGAGAAGCTTTGAGACACTCTGAATTTGAAACAAAGCAAAGGTTTCTAATTATCCCTGCCTTGAAATGTAGAGATCTGAGGAAAAGTGCTGGCATGAGTGTGAGCCTATACAATGTGTGACCTAATGCGAGAAGCAAAAAGGGATACATTTTTCAGTTCTATACAAGTTGCCGTCCTTTGCTAAGAAACTGACTCGTTTTCTCTGTCACACAGCTAAGTGCTGTGGTGTTAAGCAAAGTGCTGCTCGCAGCTAAATGTTTCACACTGGGATCAGGAGGCCTGGTAGTTCTGTGAATGTCTGGTGGGAAGGAGCTGGATGCTGTAGAGAACACGCCAAGAAGAGGTGGATCACAGCCGGGGGTTCCCGTGGGTAGCATCTGTTCCAAATCTACCCCTAATTCCGCCAGCCAACTCGATTCAACCCGAGAGCAGCGATACGCGGGAAACCAATCGCTGCGCTTTCCCGTGAACTCGCACAGGAACATTGTAAAAGACAAAAGTGCCATCTCACTGGAGGGTGACCCTTTTCACAAAGCCATCACGCTATATCTGGCCTTTCACTCCTCATCCTCAAAAGAAACCTGCAGAACACTTTCAAAACCTGAGCCAGGGGGCTGAAATTCATAACTTGGTTAGACACTAAAAACCATGGACTGCTTTCTCCCTGCACCACTTCCTTTCCTCCTGGGGAAGGAGGGATGTTAACGGCTTACTTCGCCGGGAATGGCCCTTTGAAATGTGTTCACTACGTACGATAAACAATCGGTTCAAATCTTGTATTTAGCAGTGACACCTGGAGTTATGTTCCCAGCCCTCTTAAGTTCCCAGCTCTGATTAGCTCACAAGCTTGTCTCTCGCACCAAGAGAAGTTGATCCAATAAAAGATTTTACCTCACTCACCTTGTCTTGCTAATATCATGGGATCAACATGGTTGCAACAACACTGCCTATAACAGCGTATTCTTAACTGTCCTGTTTGGAAACAATTCAGACAGAAAACTAGGTCTGAAAACTTCCCTCTCCCAACAACATGATTATTTTATTTTAATTGCATCACCAGCCCTCACCCAAGCAACTCTGTGTGTGTCCTACCCTCTTGGGCTGTGCCCACGAAAGCTCACGATATCATCTACATGTTTTGTTTGTTTTTAAGGTGCTGCAAGACTATTTGTTGTGTTTTAAGTTCTACCCTCTTACGCTGTTGGTCTGAAGTTATAAATAAATGCTACATTACTCAGCACATGGTTGTCGTCTCTTGTTAACGAGCCTTGTGCAAATAGTAATTTCACAGAAAGTTCCATTGTCCACTTTCTGCAAACCCTCAGCTCTTGTGCAAATTCAGTTCCTGTTCCCAGCTATCCCCAATGGAATGGCCAGATGCATTCTCCGACCACGGACTAGCGAATAGCTAAACTGTACTATTAGAAGCTAGAAGGGCTACTGGAGTCATGCTCTTACTGGTGACAGTGTTTCTAATGTCAGAGACTGGTACCCCGTCTGGTCATACCCTAAATCCCCAGCCGGTGTAAATCAGTGTCGCTCTCTTGTCTTCAGGGACGTGAAATCAGAGGGGCTATGTGGCTTTCCATGAGCCGACGATCTGGCTTTGGGAGGGACTGTTCCTAGCAGCACTGGGAAGGAGGGAGAGTAGCAGGAAAGGGGCACGGAGAAGCTGTGTGAAGAAAATGACATCCCCGAGCTGGGAGCTTTATACTCAGTGATTACCGCAGATCCAGATTCTGGGCCACAGACCAGGAGCACAGAGTGCAGCTGAGGAAGGGAAGGCGCGACCCTACTGAAGCCAGTGTGCTAGAGCCTTTAGCAGCTGTCTCCTGCCGTGCGCTCCCCGGCGCGTGGGTGCCCAAATGAAGCAATGGTGACATCTAATTATTCGGATAAGCTCATCTAAGCTGCAGCTGGATGTGAGCAGATGCCACAGTGAAGCACCTTTCACAAGGGCCATAAGCCTTATGTCATAACATTTGCCCGTGCAATGTGCACATCTAAGTGTCTTACGGGTGCCTTTATTTTTCCTTTTTGACTTGTAAAGATTGTTCTTTGCTCTTTACGCTTGACATTATTCAGGGCATTTTGCTTGTCTTTACCTGAGAAATCTGTGTTGCAGGGTTACTCACTGGCACATTTTCAGTTTCTCCTGTGGGAATAAAGAACTGCAGTCAATTAAAATGACTTATTATGGTTGCTATAAATAACTGGGGCAGAGCAATGGGCCATCCTGTTCCGATGAAAATCTCTTCAGGACGTATCCCTGCTCTGGGGGGTGTGGAGACCCACCTCCTTCGTAAAATCAGCTGCAGTTTTGACATGAAGAGAGGCCCATCTCTGACAAGTGTCAGGCCTGGATACTTCATAGGAAGCTGCTGAAACCCCCCTGCTACATAACTAAGAGCAGACGGCCCATTAAGAACGACTTCCTAACCATTTGTGGCTTACATCCTTTCAAAAGTTCTGGGCTTTTAAAAATCCTATTATGTGTTCCCATTATCCATATTCATTTTCCAGTCCTTCTTGGGCTTTCTTCTGAGCTCTTGGTCTGTGTTATATGTTGTGGCAATGAGTTCCACAGATGAATTATGTGATTTAAAAAAAAAAAAATTTTAAGCATTTGCTTTTGTTATCTTGAAAAGGTGCTGGTTTCAGTTTAATTGAATCTCCCGTTGCTCTTGCATTGTAAGACAAGGCTTAAGATTTGCAAAAGCATGTATGTGGCTTAGAATCATCAATCCCATTTTCACAACGGACTTAGGTGATTAACTCTAGGGCTGGTTGAAAATGTGTCCGAGAGAGGTTCTGTTCTGTGATGGAAAACCAGTGTTTGGGGTAAATGATTTTTTTTTGCTAAAAGTGTCTCATTTCTGCAGAAAACGTTGATTTCTCTACTGAAAAACTGAAAATGTCTAGTCAGCGTGCTGCTGCGGTGCTTCCTAGCAATTGTCGTTCGCTTGCCTCACATCTTCTACTAGCAGATGGGCCCAGCATTGCTTGGGTCCTGAACTCACTTTAGGGGGATTGGAGATGGGGGGGAGGTGTCTCAAAGCAGGAGGTGGGAGGCTCCGGGCAGGTGGTTTGGAGGTGCACGAGTCAGGGCAGGGAGCGGGGGTTCAGGAGTTGGGCAGGGGGTTGAAAGGTGTGGGGGCACAGGGCAGTGGATTGGGGGTGCAGGAGTTGGAATGGGGGTGTCAAGGCAGGGGACTGGGAGGTGCAGGGGTGGTTACCAGGACTGGGACTGCCTGTGGCGGTGACAGTAGTGTTGCCTGGATGGCAGCTGTGCTGGCCAGCAGTTCCTCCTGGGGTGGGGGTGGCGGCGCAGCCTGCCCCCCCCCCAGACGAGCCGCTAGCTGGGCAGCACAGCTCCCCCTCCCCCCCCAGGAAGATCCATCGGCCGGGCAGTGCAGCCCTGCCTCCCAAAAGGAGCTGCCACCAGGGCAGTGCCACCCCCACTGCCACGGCAGCCCCGGCGTGTTTCAGTTCAGGCAGTTAAGATCACAAGGTCCCAGATTTGATCCCCGCTGCTAACAACTCCTCTAGGGGCGCCAACACTACAAGCTACCAGAGGAGAAGCTGTTCTGGATTTGGTTTTAACAAATAGGGAGGAACTAGTTGAGAATTTGAAAGTGGAAGACAGTATAGGGGACAGTGATCACGAAATAATAGAGTTCATGATCTTAAGGAAAGGTAGACGGGAGACCAGCACAATTGAGGTAATGGATTTCAGGAAGGCAGATTTTGATAAGCTCAGAGAACTTGTAGGTAAGGTCCCATGGGAAGCAAGACTGAAGGGAAAAACAACTGAGGAGAGTTGGAAGTATTTCAAAGGGACGTTGTTAAGGGCCCAAAAGCAAACAATTCCGCTGTGTAGGAAAGATAGAAAATATGGCAAAAGACCAGCTTGGCTTAACAAGGAGATCTTGCATGATCTCAAAATAAAAAAGGAGTCATATAAAAAATGGAAACTAGGACAACTAACAAAGGATGAATATAGGCAAGCAACACGGGAATGCAGGGGCAAGATTAGAAAGGCAAAGGCACAAAATGAGATCAAACTAGCTACAGGCATAAAGGGAAACAAGAAGACCTTTTATAAATACATTAAAAGCAAGAGGAAGACCAAGGACAGGGTAGGCCCACTGCTTAGTGAGGAGGGAGAAGCAGTAACAGGGAACTTGGAAATGGCGGAGATGCTCAATGACTTCTTTGTTTCGGTCTTCACCGAGAAGTCTGGAGGTGTGCCTAACGTAGTGAATACAAGCAGAGAGAGGGTAAGTTTAGAAGATAGGATACACAAAGAACAAGTTAAAAATCACTTAGGAAAGTTAGATGTCAGCAAGTCACCAGGTCCTGATGAAATGCATCCCAGGATACTCAAGGAGCTGATAGAGGAGGTATCTGAGCCTTTAGCTATGATCTTTGAAAAATCATGGCAGACAGGGGAGATTCCAGAAGACTGGAAAAGGGCAAATATTGTGCCCATCTATAAAAAGGGGAATAAGAACAACCCAGGAAATTATAGACCGGTCAGTTTAACGTCTGTCCCAGGGAAGATAATGGAGCAGGTAATTAAGGAAATCATATGCAAACACTTGGAAGGTAATAAAGTGATAGGGAATAGCCAGCATGGGTTTGTGAAGAACAAGTCATGCCAAACTAATCTGATAGCTTTCTTTGATAAGATAACGAGCCTTGTGGATAAGGGAGAAGCGGTGGATGTCATATACCTAGACTTTAGTAAGGCATTTGATACGGTCTCGCATGATATTCTTATTGATAAACTAGGCAAATATAACTTAGATAGGGCCACGATAAGGTGGGTGCATAATTGGCTGGATAACCGTAGTCAGAGAGTTGTTGTTAACGGTTCTAAATCCTGCTGGAAAGGGATAACAAGTGGAGTTCCTCAAGGGTCTGTTTTGGGACCCGTACTGTTCAATATCTTCATCAATGATGTAGATATTGGGATAGAGAGTACTCTTATTAAGTTTGCAGATGATACCAAACTGGGTGGGGTTGCAACTTCTTTGGAGGATAGGGACATAATTCAAAATGACCTTAGCAAGTTAGAGAAATGGTCGGAGGTAAACAGGATGAGGTTTAATAAGGAGAAATGCAGAGTGCTCCACTTAGGAAGGAACAATCAGTTCCATACATACAAGATGGGAAGCGACTGTCTAGGAAGGAGCATGGCGGAAAGGGATCTAGGGGTCATAGTGGACCACAAGTTGAATATGAGTCAACAGTGTGATGCTGTTGCCAAAAAAGCAAATATGATTCTAGGTTGTATTAACAGGTGTGTTGTAAGCAAAACTCGTGAAGTCATTCTGCCGCTCTATTCTGCACTAGTTAGGCCTCAGCTGGAGTACTGTGTCCAGTTCTGGGCGCCACATTTCAAGAAAGATGTGGAGAAATTGGAAAGGGTACAGAGAAGAGCTACAAGAATGATTAAAGGTCTAGAGAAGCCTATGAAGCCAGGCTTCATGAACTGGGCTTGTTTAGTTTGGAAAAACGAAGATTAAGGGGGGACATGATAGTGGTTTTCAAATATCTAAAAGGGTGTCACAAGGAGGAAGGAGAAAATTTGTTTCTCTTGGTTTCTGAGGACAGGACAAGGAGTAATGGGCTTAAAGTGCAGCAGGGGAGGTTTAGATTGGACATTAGGAAAACATTCCTAACTGTCAGGGTGGTCAAATATTGGAATAAATTGCCAAGGGAGGTGGTGGAATCTCCCTCTCTGGAGATATTTAAGAACAGGTTAGATAGACATCTGTCAGGGATGGTGTAGACGGAGCTTGGTCCTGCCTTGAGGGCGGGGGGCTGGACTCGATGACCTCTCGAGGTCCCTTCCAGTCCTATTATTCTATGATAAGTGTTAGCCACGGCAGCAGCAGTCTCATCAATCTCTAACTCGTCTACCCCCCACGAGAGGGGGACAGCGCACCGCCCAGAGCGGGCATGGCTCATACACCCCTGGACTGCGTGCCATCTGAATAGCAACGCTCACGGACCCCCTTACGCTGGGTTCTCCAATGCCTGGTGACATTTCCCCAGGCCTGCAGTCTCTGCTCTGGAGGGACCCTTCCTCAAGCCGGTTGTGAGTCTACATCATCCCCTTCCCCTCACTGCAGGCTGGGCCTCCGTCCGCGCTGACTGACAGAAGGGATAAGAGGGAGGGAGTTTGGATTTTTTTAGATCCATCTGACTCAAGTGATCACAGCTGGAGCGCCTTGGCATTTCCCTCTCGCATCGCAACGTGCTTTCTCTCTGCCCTGTGTGCCATTACTCAACAGCCCTGAAATCTTGGGGTGCCAACAGTGCGGCGCATGCGAGAGGGCTTTATTTCACAGGGGCCTGAGGGGCACCATGCTGCCGTGCACTGGGGCCTAGGTGGCTCGTCCCTCTTTTGCCTCGAAAGCTGCATGTTGCACAGGACGGAGCCCAAGGGTCTGATGTTGTCAATCAAAGCTAAAAACCTAATGCATCATGTCATCATAAACATGTTTTAGAGCCCTAGTAGGGCCCAGAGGCCTCCACTGAGGCTGGTGTTCCATTGTGCTAGACACGTCCACACACAGCATCAGACAGCCCCTTCCCCAAAGACCTTCCCCTCATAAGAACATAAGAACGGCCGTACTGGGTCAGACCAAAGGTCCATCTAGCCCAGTATCCTGTCTACCGACAGTGGCCAGCACCAGGTGCCCCAGAGAGGGGGGGCCGAAGACAAAGATCAAGCGATTTG